CTGCGTCCCATCCAGTGTCGGTGTTCCGTCGGGGCATATCGTCTCTTGTTGTTGCAGCCTGCGCAACACAGCCCAGCCAATCTCTTGAACGGTCGTTCACGAGACAATCAAAGTGCTTTCGTCGGATCTGTATTATGTTTGCAATCTGTGTACAGGCAGCGCCGGAAATAAGCTCGGACAGCGTCCTTAGGGGCTCCAACCTCGGTCCCTACACCACCTACAATGTGTTAAAATTGCTTTATGCTGGCGGAGTTCGGTTAAGCTTATATTACGTGATATGGGATGCGTTCATCAAAAAAAAGTTCAATTAATATGCACTCCTCAAGTGGTCAGTGTACGCCCTTTCGTTCGTTGGTCTGTGTGAAAAAAGTGAATCTGCCGAGATGCGCACCGCCGTAACATTTTTCTTCTTGATCTCCACCTTTGATGATTAACCATTTTAAGCCAGTTTTTTTCACAAGATTTAGCGACTCCACATCAGGCGTGACGTGGTATCGTCCTCACTATTGGAGTACCGAGAGGTGTACGCCACCAGCAATCCTCCTAACATCTGACGCGGCTTAGGTAAGCAAACCCACACACTCTACCCACCCTGACACTACATTTTCGAGTGAAATCTTTCCGTGGGAACTACACTGCCGTTCGCGCTTATGCACTCCCGTGATTAGCAAACTTTAAAAGTGCCGACGGTCGATGCCGTGTTGTACGGTGTGAGTAAGAGATGGAAGGAGCAGTTATCAGGATGAGAGTCGCCATGTGGGTGAGCGGAGCGTTTGACGATTCTCAGTTGAACAGAACGACACACTGCTCTCTGCATGAGATCTCAGGCCCCCACTCTCACTCATTCGGTGACGTGGTAACTCGGTGTGAAGGCATCAGTGTCTAATGACGTATGAAAACCCAGATCAGGTGCCAAAGTAAGCAAGCGACCGACACCAACGGCTCCATTTTTACAACCCATCAGACATCGCACGGATCAAATTGTTGCTGGGTCAAGTCTGTTACGAATAGCTTTCTACGACTGGAGGCGCGTGCATGCGACTTCATGTTAGAGATGACATCGTTGTCACTTGGTGTCGGTGCATCACATCAAAGTGAATAACTGTTCTGATTAAAAACGAGTCTCGCAAACCCAATCACATCTAAGTAGATTTCTTAACGCTGTAACAGTCGTTGCTTGTAGAGCACGGTGTTCTATCTGTGCGACATGGATCAGTAAAGGAAGAGACTTTGGTCCGAAACACTGATCGACTATCTCTACATAAAGAGTGCAAGAAATGACGAAGCCTGTAGGGACATTCGGAAGTTGGGATCGACCAGCATCAAAAATGTCCCTATTGGTGGAGCTAGCGAAGTTTACTCTGAAGCAAATCGTGAACCCGCGTGCAATTGCATGCCATGATTCGAACCGGCTGCGGCTACTCACGCCCAATTATGGCAACAATAATGCATCTTGCAATTAGAATAATTTCATATGCGTACAGTGGACCTTATCGTCGTCGTCAGCGAGGAGGTCTCAAAACGCTGTATCAGGTCCTGCATAGCCTCAAGCATCCTTGTCCCCATCTCATCAGACTCACCTAAAACACATCACTGCGAGTCCACCTACTCTAACCGTTCAGGCAGTACACCCGACTGGCAGGCAAACGAGATTTTTTCTTCCCCCCTCCCAAGCGCACGTGATTAATGCCCCCACCTCATCACATTTCGAAAGGCAAATTGACAACGCACTGACACATCTACAGTAAGTAATTCATAGTCCCCGTGTCCATCGAATGATGACAATGGTGCCGAACAAACAGTCTCCTCATCAGTTCATCTCCCGGTTAAACCTCCGGGAGGAACATCTACATTTGTGCGACTGCAAATCTGGTGATTTCGGCAGCTTATCTTTCGTGACATTGACACAATGTTCTGTCTTGTAATTTTCACCCTAAGCAGCCAACGTGACTTGCCAAGCATGTGATTTTAGCACATTAATCCACATCTATCTAAATAACAAAAAGCATAGTACTTAAAGTGGAACGAATAAGACCTATGGTCGTATAATGGGTCAGAACTAGGGGTGCAATTACAAAAGTGCCCCCACCTTCGCTGATGCCTAATACCCGATGCTTAATTTAACCAATAACATTACGGTTATTGAGAAACCCATGCGGGAAAGGGCCAGACACTACCAGACTCACAATATCGGTTAGCTTTTTCACAACATTCCGCCATGTCACGGAACGACCACGTTGAGGTTTCAGCTAACTCGACACAATATTGGTGAAAAGCACGCCAAGGATGCCGACTCGCCGGCATGCATATCGCATGGTCGGCTAAGTCAGTGGATGGGACGCGATTTCAGCAGACACCTCAATATGTCCCATATATTATGAATGGGTGATCAAACCTGATCACTGGCCAAGTTTCCGACTCATTGTATGATGCCGACCTCATTACAGCGATTTAGATCCTTCGCTTAAGAATGAGCATACCCTCTGCAACCTCCACAAGTCAGAGAAGCTTGAAATGCCACTCGAGTTTTATCAATGCGGACAGCAATCTCTTCGGTGCTGCGACTATCAATGGTGACACAGCTACCTAGATGAGTTAACGGATAAACCATCTCACAGGATTCTGTACTATTACCAATTATGCCTGTACTTTGACGTTTCACTTGTTGGCTCGAGAATTCCACAGTGCTCATTGAAGCATTATACTGAACCTCAAATGTATCTAACTTCTTATGGCGTGTAGTGACTTCAAGATAAAATATAGTTTGTCCGTTAGTCCTTTCGGCGTTCCACGGCTTCGTTGATGGCGTATGAAACCAAAAATAGTTCTAATTATGACCCCAGAGATCGCGTATGCTGTGTTGCACCGTAAGTACATGCATTCTGTCCGATCATGCACCTGTGACCGATGACATATACAAAGTCAAGGTCATGTAAGCTCGATTGGTTGCCGACCGGCGGCCAAATGATGCTATTCGCCAAACCGCCGTGGAATGATGCCTCTGTCAGCTGCTTTTGAATGCGAAACACCGACCGCCTTCGATTGAAAACCATCTGGAGCTTATAGTAAAATATGTCTCATAGTTCACCTTGAACCATTTGCGGACACTTCCTTTGAGTTTGGGAGAATTGACTGGATAAAGCAATGTCATGATAGCTTGGGTGGTTATCTGATACTTGAGTTTAGAGACGATGCACCGCTACGCGCAGTAGCCCCAGTCCCTCACAAGTCCCCCAGACGCAATGCAAATCGCCCACCTGAGTGTTTCGTATAAACTTACGGGCATTAGCTTTAGTTAGAAGCTTATCCGCATTCCACTCACAGAAAGGAGATGACCTGGTTGGGTACGTTCCAGGAGGTTGTTATCCGTAGGGGCAGCTTCACCTTCTACATGAGCTAATAAGCGGAAGCTAATGGAAACAGTCGCACACAGATGCCGAGCTCATGAGTCGTTTCGCTTGTCCCCACTCCGGAATACCCATCTCTGCCGCTTGTTTTCAGCCCGTGTTCCTCTTGCGTAATCAGATCGTGAAGCAGCAATGGCTGCAGGTTTTGGGAAAAACCAGAAGACAAATAAATCGGAACATCATTGTCACGAGCATGCAGCCACAATCGCATGGATCCAAACCTCTGATGATCGATTGGCCCCAAGCGATGGCTGCAACACGTATTTCATTGTAAAGCGTGGATCGACTTGACCGGTTTGTATGACCACAGGAGCTGAGCAGCATTCGATCAAGGGAATTCGTCGCGTGAAACAGCGACGGAATACTGTGGGTACCAAACACAAATCATTTGATAGAAATGAACAACAACTAATGTGCGCTATATATGAGGCTCTAAAGAGACTATTAGAAGTCGCTCATTGCCCATTATGTGTTCAGACTTCGGAGGGCTAGACGACATTGGATACCACAAAGTTGGCTGCCTCCACTTGCACAGTAACCAGTCACTTTGACTGAGAACAGTGACAAGTCCTTGAGTGAGTGTAGTTGACTTACTGAAGTGGTCATCCTTCAATTGATTGCACGGTCGGCTATCGATCAGAAACTGGTGGTCACTGACCTCTACAGAAAAGAGCAGAGGGGAAGAGCAGAGAGGAGACGGGATATAGCTTTTGCTAGTCATACAGTCCGATGTAATGGTCAGACCGAACATTCGTTAACAGGATATAAAGTTCGTGTGGAAACCTCTAGAAGGGTTAACTTATTACTAGTCAAACAATACCTCTGTCCTGCTGAGTAGCCGGTTCATCTAGTTGGCTGTCTGTTCATACAATGCATGCGGAAGAGTAGTGTCTCACGGCCATGCTTTGGCTCTGTATCGGCGATCGGTACTTCAGCTGTTTGCTTAGAGATTTCCTTTTTAACACTAACGTTGTGCCAAAGACACAAACCACATCCACAGTAAATAGGAAAACTCGCTTCTCAAGCGCACTGCCTGAACCGCAATAAGTTCGCACGCGATCCAAAATTCATCACCCAAGAGTAGATGAGTTCGACTGAGTGGATCCCCGGGAATTGTCAATTTGGTTGCGCCGTAAATGCATACCTTGGGTACATCTGATTCTTCTATGTTTGATGTGCATTAGCGAAACACTGCTGCAAGCATTAGAGAAGAAGAAAACGTGTCAGAACAACGCAGGTGGGCCCTGTAGCGCTATTTGTTTTTTATGGTGGAGGCCCTGTTCGGGCTTAACATAAACACAAAGCCGGTATACCGTATCTACTACCAGAGATAACTGGCCCACTGGAGCAAGTAACTTTCAACTCTAGAAAAGCATCAGAACTCAACGTGGGGCATGTAGCAAGATACGTCTTGTAAATAAATGTCATCAGGATCGTAGCAATGTGACATAATGTTAATTAGCTTGCTTTCAACGATGGTACGTGGAGTCGCATACGTATATTAAGTTATGGATTCCCCAAGTGCCTTTTCCTAAAGAATGAAGCGACCGTTTTGGAGAGTTCGTTTTTTCTATATGAGGTATGTACTTAAGCGGTCAGAGTTATTCTACTATTTTTCAATTTCAGACGCCAGCACGTCCAGTGTCACGATGGCTCACCTCCACCATTGTCTTCACACAAATCATACCAGACTCCCGATCAACTTCGGATTCCACAAGACCAATTAAAAGCAGTGGACCGAGGCACTCAACAAATTCCCTCAAGGATATCACCTACCTACCCAAACATAAATCACCTCAGCTCGTACGCGAACTCGGAGCAGTCCACTGAGTGTGATTCGGCACCGCTGTCGGAAGGAGACCAGATTTACCCTCCATTCGAGGAGATCCCCCCTGATTCACATAACCAAATCCATCACCTTATTCATCGGCACGGTAAGACTGGGACTGTTTTGAATTCACCGTGTAAACGGGAAGTGAGTTGATTGACTCTTCCAGTCGGACAACTGTAATGAATGCCTTCCACCACCAATCGAGGGGGCATCTTGAGTGCGTTTTAGTAGACAGCTTAGTAGCATATGCCGAAGATGCCACTCCGATTGTTGGTGAAACATTTGCAACAGAAGTGTCCGGTTCTGAGAACTGATTTATAACAAATGACAAGAAAGATTCAGTCGAAACCAACTACCCTGTAGGGAGCTTCATACTTAACGACTGTACGCAACCTGTGTTACCTAATGTTCGAAATTTAGGTACATTGAGGTCGAACGTGTGGATGGAGCCACGTGTACTGTTAATTCTGGCGTCTATTATCCTGCAGCAATAAAAACTATCCCGATACCGCTGGTTCCTCCGACGGCCTTAAATTCCAGAGAAATTAGCTGCGACGTTATCGCTTTCTCACGCACACTGAGATTTATGCGGCATTTATGCGGTGGTGGATGAGTTCTCGGTCACGTGATAACTAATCAGAACAAAGATCATTCAGAAGAGTAGTAGGGGGAGTTGAATGGTTTAGGTAGAATTTCGTCACATCTAGGCTCACTCAGACAGCCGCCACAAGCCCGGAAAAGCACTGTACGCGCGTTTCATCCTTTCGGGAATCATCAGCAGTGTGCATTCCATCGGACCCCTGGTAGGGCTCGAACCTGCATCTCGATTGTTGCGAGTCCGTGGTTGAGACCACTGAGCTACGGGGAACGGCAACGACCATCGTGAATAAGTTACTAGATGTGATATAGCGCCGCTCACTATCATTCACAATCTCATAATTTAAACAGAATATGCTCCAACTTATGGCAAAACCGCACGCCTGTACGTGATTACCCTTGAAATCATTGGCTCCATTCTTTTGTTCAGGTTGAACCTGAGGCATCCAAATGCTACGTAGCTCAAGAAGGTTATGGACACCTAGTATGCTTTCTTCATTTTACTCTTGACCCATTTGTATCCGCTTGAAGCAGTTGGAATAAAGGCACGAAAACTGACTTCAACTCTCTGTGCTTTTTATGACCTCTTCAGATGGCCTATGTAGTACTACTCAAGACACTGGAACGCAGCACACAGTTCATCACTGCGCCGACCCATGTCCCGTTGCCGCTGATGCGGGTTCATCGCACAGTGACTTATCTCATTGGGGCGATGTACAACACGGCACTCGAAATTCACCTCCAGTGGGACATGAAATCCTGGAAGCACTACATGAAGGTTTTCCTGCGCCCCACTCCGTCCCCTTTCCTCGGTTCTGGAAACCTTGGAAACGAACCTTAAACACCAGTGGCTTTAATATGCCGGATGCCTTGCCTTTGTCGCCCTTAAGGAAACATCCGGTTGGTGATCGGTGTAGGACCGCCTGGAGCGTGAACGGCTCATGTGGAACCAATGCTGTCGGCAGCCCATCTTCCCAATCACGAGAAAGCACTGACCCGCCAGGGTCCCAGTCTGATCGGAAGGAGTTGGTGAGTGAAATCTTGAGTGTATCACGAATACTGTTCATGGACCGTGAGTTACTTGAACCTGGCCGTGTGTGGGGACGGTATCGCCGCACACACATGATGGGCAACTTCAGTTCCCCATGAATCATGTTCAAGGACGCGGAAGTTTAAACAAGGTGAATGCTTGAAAAACTTCCAATAAATCGTCTTATCACCCTACTAAGGGAAGTTAGCCAGATATAAGAAATCCGTCTCTCAAAGTGCGGTTTGTTTATCAATGTGTGATAGAGCTAATGGAATTCCAGCTGAATAATTCGCGGGGACTTTTGCATATAGTATAGTCTGGGATGTGCTGAGCAATAGAGCCAGCCAGCGGGTTTGGATCATTCGTAATCCTACTATGCAGACATGTTACAATCACATCTACATTCGTAAAGCGTGGCCGCTTGACAATTTTTATCCAGCCAATATATTTATGAATCATGTGTCGATCCGGTGGACATTCACTCACAAATACGTAAACACTATCTGGAGCCGTAGAGGATACTGGAGTTTTTCATTCTTAACGTGATGTAATATACAATCAATCAATCCTACCATCAACCAATACACATCGGGATATGGTCTTTTCGCGCTAGGGGGTTGGCATGAGTGCTTCCTATCTTCATAATTGACTAAAATTGCCTGAGCTCGATGGCTAACATGCGCTTGTGCGTCCCTGATGTTACGACGTTGACTACGCTTGAGCCAATTGAGCAAGCGCGGACACAGGTGGTTGAGTTATTGCATGGGGATTCTAGCTAGATGGTTGGGCCAATGTAAACGGACAAAGACTAGCAAATTACAAGACAGTAACTAGACTAATTGGACACGTAGGTGGTCGCTAAAACACGTACTCTCTGTTCCGGTAAAGCGGATTTCCCCAAAGATCGTATCCCTAATCTTGTCTCGACCACTAGGCGCCTGAAAACGGTCTCATTCATACAGTTGCACAGAAGCATGTGTACGGTAGGAAGTCGAATCGATGTGGAGCGACAGATACACAGTTGTTTGGAAGTTTGTAAGTGTTGCTTTAGGTAATGACCGGAGTGATTCCGTTAGGAATAACGACTCCCAAGAATATGTATACTTCGTTCATTGCAGTTAGCAGTGTGATGTTAAAAACCTTGAAGGAATGCTTTCTTTGAAGATCAGTTATACATGTTGCAGGGCGGATTTCGTGGTATTTTCAAACATTCGTTATGTGCATGGATTGCGTCACTTAGTCTTTGGAACTAATTCTTGTATAATGCGTCAGAAAATCCAGGGGCTCCAATCGTCTTGAGTGTGTGATCTTTGCCGACCTTCAGCATATCCATGTCACAATACGTCAGACTATCCCTTGATGTTGGGATTGCAATTTAGCTTGTTGGCTCACTGCGTTATCTTCGGGGAAACCAATTTATATACATTATACCTACAACGGCAATAAATAGCTGACTGTTGGTGCTGTTTCAGTATTACACCGCTACAAAATGAATGAGCAAGCAAATATCGACCAATTTCTTGTACTTCAATGGCCTTAAAATATGCTGACACAGGCGCAATCCTGTTCCGCTGGTACTAGACGGTAGAATCAAGTCCACCCGAGTCTGCCCGCTTGACGACAGCAACGCATTTGGCCATATAGATCGCGAATTGTTGTTGAAAGATTCGTTCAGTACTGACTTATATCCTTCCAGCATTCTGTCCTTTAGGCTTACTCTTCCTGGTCACAATCAGACTATACGGCTAGGATGTAGGAATTCCTCACCTATAATCAAGAACACCTGGATTCTGCAGGGAGCTATTCCCTCATCATTTCCACTTTACACTTACATCGGATCGATACCAGTCCCTTAGAAGGCGAGAAAGAGAGGTATCAGCAGTAGGCTGGTACGAAGTACCGACGTTTAGCTGCCACGCAACCATCACCAGTCGCGCGTGGGTCAAGCATACTGCGAGGGCGGCCCGGTCCCCTAGGCGGGCTGGAACCCGCGACATCCGGATAACAAGGCAGGTGTGTGGTCTTTCCGATCAGGGACGGATCTACCGAACTATGTGGATGACGTTGCTTCAGAGGTCCATCAGTTGACCACTGCGTCTCCAGTCAGATTACAAGGTATAAACAATAATCTCACTTTTTGATCGAATTACGCGAGCTGCCACTGCGCGTCAGGTTACATTGATGTATTTTACTGCATATATGGGTCGTTTTCTGCAGCTTCTAGTCCCCCAAAATTCACATCTATGGTGAGGGGCTACCCTGTACCAAATCAGTGAAATATCCAGGCATTACTACCGTTTACGTTGCTCCCATCATGTGGATGGAAGTCAGTGTAGCGAAGTGTTGCATTGCTTGGACAATTTATCTGAAACGTGTTCTCTACTGACATTTGGAGTGTACTTATCCGTTCATTCAAATAACTTCTCTTCCTGGTTGTGATGACCGCCCGTGCACTGAATCATATCCACAAAATATACCCAGATAATATGATCACACTCATACCCTTCGCATGAACTTGCCTTAATAACTCTTCAATGCGCTGTATGCCTCACACTGTTGTCCAGTGGTTCACACCGGATTTACACCTTCATTCTCTCTCACTGACAATCTTTCACCTCATTTAATTTGGTTCCATCGGTAACAGATGCTCCATGCACTAGGTATCATGTTGCTATCTCCATGACCTTGTAACATTGCTATCACATTCTCTGAGTGACGCTCTGGCCATCAAAGCTGACACCCTGTTTACTTGTATCTGTGCCTTTGTTAATCACTCACTCCTCAATCTGTGATTGGACCATCAATGACTGGCTGTTACCTTTATTAATACCTTCACGTGTTTGGCTGTTGTTTGATATCCTTGGTGTGGCTGCGCTTGATGTGCATGTTGACAAGGTGCCTACCTGTCTGTTACCCACTACATCGTTCATACTGGCTCCAGGAGACAGTTGGTCGTTGCTGGAGGGGACGGGATGCACAGTGCTTGTGGCCGTGCTAGGCTCGAAGAGTGGTTCCATGCACTCAGTGTGGAGCGGACTACGGTCCAGCCACCGCCTTGTGTGCGCTTGATTCCCAAATACAGTGTGCTTATGTTTGCCTGTGAAGGAGTGTGGGCCGGCTCCGTTGATGAAACGTGGTTCCCAACCGCATGCCTCCCGGTCTTATTCCTTCGGGTTTACACTGGATATGGGGTGTGTGGTTGGAGCTGTGGCTGGTGCAGCGCAAGCCATCCATGGTCCCTCTGTAGGCGCAGGCGTCCTGTGGCTTGCCACAGTGACAGGCAAATCCGAATCCGGATGCCGCCAACCATATATTTTGCTAGCATAGTAGTTGCGATGCAACCCTGCTCTACTTTTCGGGTTCATTGGCTGCGCGTTGTTCAACGTTGGATCGTTGAAAGTCGCAGTCAGGTTGTCATTACGCCTTGCTTATGTAGCATTCTCCTCTGGCCCTCATGTCTTAATACTTTATTTTGTCATGGTCCAGGTTCTTCCACGCTGGACTTACTGTTCCCCAGTGATTTTTCCCATTCTATCGAGTGAGTTCTCCCGAGTACTCATCAGTTTGTCAAAACACTTATCCTGATGTAGCGGTGTATCAAAGCGGACTTCTGTTGGCATTTTTTGTTCACATATGTTATTTCTTGCAACAAACGAGTCAGCGATACTTGGGGACTCAATTCCCCCACCCTCATGGCGCATTATCTGATGGTGTCAACTTCGTTAACCAGAGAGAAGCACAACTTCGCATATGGCATTTGCATGGGCCTACAGATCGCTACTCATCCCTCACGCAGCACGACTTCGCTAGGCCCCAGCGAACTAGTTCGAGAAATAATCAACCAATTTGAGCTGTGACGGCAATGGGTTTTCCGCCTTTTTGTATTGCATTGTATCATGGTACCTTACGGAAATCGTGTGTACTACGGCTGAATACTCATACGCCAGTGTTCTTATGGGGCTTTCTTAATTGAATATTGCATCGACATTGTGTGGCCCACAGGAATGGGCGATCTCCAACACTTTTTCGTCTCTCATTGCGGATTAACGATGCTTAACCTCATTTGCTTCTGTCGTAGGCTGTCTTTACTCAGAGTGGCTGATGCGTGCGTGTCTTCGATTACCCACAGCAGCCCGGTACCATCTGATCTAAAATAAAATTAACTAGATGTTTGACTAACACACGACCCGCGAGTGTACATGCTTAAAAATATTTGTAAGCGAAAAATTGTTTTGCAATTAGATCTTACAATTTAACTATCCTTCCAGTGCCGTTTTTACTGGATCGGTATTCACTCACCCATGAAATCTTTTAGACAGGGTGGGTCTCACGGGTTCGTGAGACCATGAGACTTGAATCTCCACCTGGTGAGTGTCATAATAAGATGCACAGGTAACCGTTAACGGTTGATAACACGCCACGATTGACTGCATCAGAATGTTCTTGATGAGAAAGGCGGTATCTCATCGTCTGCATTTTATGGATGAAAACTGCTGGATCGCTTATAACTTGCTCATGAGAATGTGGTTGATGTTATAGAGGGGAACTCGCTAAAACATCGGGTGTTGCAATACGATGTGACAACCACTTGGATGAGGATCCTATGCTTCGTAACCACCATATAAGTGGGGATCGAAGCAGCTCGGATCTCGTGTATTGCGCAATTGTTTGATGGATGTCTTCTATAAAATTGTGTGTAGCCGGATGCGCTACACACTCACATCAAGTGCCTCGAAGCATCAAAGACACCGAGAAGCCATTTCACCTTTTGAGTGCATTCAGTGTTGTGAGCAAGCGGGGATTGAATCCAAGACCCATCCCGTGTGCACCAATGTTCTTTACCTCTAACAACGAAGGTTGGTGCCGATTACCGAGTCAAATTCATAAGTCGTGATAAAAGCCAAACTTGGATACAAAAGTTAAGCCACTTGAAGGGCTCATCGGAACGCTTGTTCTTCAGTAGTGCGTGTCTGTGCTACTCTTACGTTCGGCAAATTTTAAAACTTACTTACACTGTCGTTTTTCCCTTTTAGAATAAAACGCCCCTGCAAAGGATTGGAAATGATCTATCTGTGATCGGCCATTGGCAAACACACACCATTGAAACGCATAAAACCGG